CACCAACACCCCTCTAGCTAAAGGCTCCCCCTCCCCCATTGCCACCTCCTCAGCCACCCACTGCCTCCCCCAATCTCCCCCCAGGCTCCCCATTGACCTTGCACTCTGCATGCCTTCCCCCAACCCCTGCATTAACACCAGATCCCCCCCCACCTCAATCCTCCCTGTTAATCCTGCACTGACCCCCCCCAAACACACCATGCTCCCCGCCGTGTCCTCCCATAGTCCCTACTGTAATCCCAGTCCCCTCTGCTCCCCCGTGTCCTCCACCAACTGTTGAAGTTGGAAAGCAACTTCTGGGATGATCTGGACCAACCCTGCTGCCCGTATCCCTGCCCCATATTGCTGGAGAAGATTAATCACTTGTCAGCCCTGCACCATGTCCTCCAGCCTCTGCCCTGCTCATACAACCAGGACCTTGCCCATGGAGTCTGGTCACCCCAGGACTTGTGACCCACCACCCTTCTGTTAGCCCCTGAACTCAGATTCACCCCAAAGCTCCCCATTGACCCAGGAAAGCCCCATTAGTCCTATAGGATACAACCCTGCTCACCCCCTGCCTGTCCTTGTTTCCCTCACTTGCCACGCTTGCATGAGGTGCTACTAAAAATGTCTCTGTAACCTATGGTCTAATTCTTTAACCTTCCTCAAGTTCGGGTTGACGGAACATTTTCTCCTGTTCCCCAGCTACTTGCCTGTCTCCAAGGATGCTGCCATGGAGGAACCAAGCAAGCCCGTCTCTCCTGGGCATTGGTCCAAAGGCTCACGCTCTCACAGTCCCCAGGAAACACCTCCAGACATGGACACCAGGCTCAAGAGTCATCTCCAAGACAGCCAGAGCATGAAGCTATGTACTTGTTTGTTAGCTTGTTTGCTAGCAAGGGGGTGGTTTTCCATGTGGGGGGAGCTGTGGTCACCCAGAAAGGGGAGGGAGAGAAAAAAGAGCAAAACCCCATCAGCCAGGCTGCTCTTTAAAGGGATGGTGACATCCCCAAAAAAAAGCCACAAGGCTCTGAGGAATGCATCCCAAGTGGAGCAGGATCCATGGACTGGGTAGGAAGAGAGGATGGGGAGGGGAGGACAGGGCAGTAATGGTGGCTCTTTGGACCACCAGGGTGTCACAGGGGTGCTGGGCTTCACCAGCCACCAGGTTCAGCTCCCAGCTGCAAGACAGCAACAGGCAAGCGCTGATGGTTGCATGGAGGCATCACCCAAGGGTTCCTACCCATGGCGCTCTACGCAGACAGAGGGCAAGACAGGCAACTGCTGATCTCCAGAAAGAGCACACAGGAGACCCCGCACTTTCTGCTAGCCCTGCTCCTCCTGTAAGCTGAGAAGAAAGCTCAACACAGCCACCAGCCTTGAAAGTCATATGGGGATCAGGTAACGCGAGTGCAAACCTGGTCCCCCATGGGCTCTGATCCTGCCCAGAGGCTGCAGCCTGGCAGCGCGACCCTCCTGCTCCAGGGAGGGATATTTTTTCTCCCCTGGTTATTTCAGAAACAGCATTTGGGAGCAGGACGAAGCCAGGACACCAAGAGATGGTATCAGTATCTCAGGGAGGGCGTGTTTCCTCCAAAGCTATGTGATAACCCAGATGTTCCTCGATTACTTTCACCAGTGAGGAGGAATATGACTAATAAAAGCTCCTCCTTCCCCAAAATACCTTTGAGATGCCTGAGGGATGAGCTCCCTGAGGCAGAAGAGCATGGCATGGGGCTCCCAGCCATTTTTTCTGCCTGTGGGCCATGGACGGGTACTGGCAGTCCCTCCTGCTCCCCAGAGCAGCTTGGAGTGGCTCAAACTTGCCAAGTGGGTCATGAACCAGAAAATTTTCTTCAGCTGCCCTGGCAAAAGAGAAGACAGCCCTGTTCCCCAGCCCAGCGATGCAGGGCTAGAGGAGACTGCCCATGCTCCAGATGCCTTTGGCTCCGTGGTGGGTCTGGCATTCAGAGGGGAGAACTGGAGAAGCTCTGGTTTCTCCATACTTTGACCCACAGGGATTTCATCCTCTCTTGGATGGTCTTGGCACCTCTTTGACCCCTCAGCATTCACATGGCCCATGCCTTGAGGACTTTTTCCATCAGCTCACAGGTGGCCACCTCCAGACTCCCACAACCATCAACTCTGCTCAGAAGTCATCCATGTGTCTTTCCTAAAGGTGATCATGATGTGTATTCTAAACCAAGACACTTCGCAAAAAGCAGGTTTCTTTTGATTACGTGTTAAGAAAAGCAATTTAAAGAGCTCTGAAAAAAAAATCAATACCAAAACTCGAGTTCATAAGGAAATGAGCACTCAGACTTCTCTCCTATTTCAATCCAGGTGAGTGTGGCTGAAAACTAAACACTTTCCCTGGGAAAAGAACATCAATGCAATTATTTCACTTCAAATTCTTGACTTGAACAAAACTTGAGTTTTTCAACCTGCTTGACGATGTTTAGATGCTGTTTTCTCTGTTGACTCACAGGATGACTCATAGGTTAAGAGCAAGTGAATCAATATGGTTTATCATCCAGACTTATCTGGGCCACATTACTGTAGTACAGTGGCATCTTGTTTATTCACACGTCACCGGCAAGACCGCCGTACGTTGAGCAAACTCAAGCATGGGAACACTACGTTGCCTGTTGCAAATGACAAAGGCATCACGGCAAGTTGCCTGAATCCAAGGGTTTCCCTCAGGGACCAGACTTGGGAGCCGAAGGTTTCGTTACCCACCGCGATGGCTTCGCTTGTGGATGCACGATGGGGAGGGAGGAACTGCTCCCCTGGAGTCATTTCACCGACGAGGATGGGAGTGGGGTGTCTCAGCCCCCCTGGATTTGGCGTGAGGGAGCTAAAATGAGTCTGGCATTGGAACCAAACCGAAATGCTCACCGGTGCGATTCCTCCACCTCGGCATGAAAATGAAGAGCACACTGAGTGGGCTGCACTGGCTGTTCCTGCAGACAACGGGGAGGGTTGAACATTAAAATTTTAGTGATCATTTAAATGTCAATGCATTTTTTTTGCCTGAAACGCCGAATATTTCAGGATTTAGCTGAAATACTGTGTATCCATGTTTTCCAGTGAGAAAAGATCTTGATGGGAAGCAGATACTTTTTATAAATTGGGTTTGACCCACATTTCCAGCCCACTGCACCATTGATATGTTGCCTTACTTATCTTCCAGGTGAGATACAGGTCTAAATAATGAGAGCCTCATTTCTTCCTTAAAGGATCCGATCCTCCTCATGCCACTGTTATTCAACCCCTCTACAAAAAATGCATCATGGTCGTCTTACAGCTGAGCTTATTGACAGGACCTCATTGCAAAGAGATAAATCTGGCTGAAGCCCAAAAGCATCAGGTCTACCCATTCACCCAGATTTGCCAGTTTGGGAATTGCAGCATTGAGGACCTGCCTGCCCAACACAACTGCTGATGGGTTGGTGCGGGGAGAGAGGAGATGCTTCCGACAGCTGGGGTAAATCCTGAGGGCTTTCAGAGATTAGGACCAGCCCTAAAACAGGGCTCCAGGATTAGATAGGAGGTGGTGAGGTCTTCCCACTTGTACATCGTAAAGCAAAGTGGAGATGCCAAAAGCCCAGAATAAATGACAGGCCCATGTCATCTGGGTGGGAGGGGCTCCTTGAAGTTGTAACATTCCTCCCCCACACTTGTCCCCTTTTGTCCCTGTCCTCAGGAACATCTCTGGAGAGCCCGGGTGGGCTCTTTGCACCCCAGGAGGACTCTGAAAGCAGCAGGGTGGATGTCACACACTGTTACCTGGGCCACCACTGATTTTGAGCATGGCATCATGAGGTCCTTGGCACAAGAGATGTGCTTCACCGGAGCAGAGGATGGAGCTCGGCTCCAAGGGATGGTACCATGGGTGTCAAGAAGGAGCTGTCACCCATAGCCTGTATCAGGGTGGGGAAGGAGACACCCAGGACTGACAGGGTCCCCGTTGCCATCCCCAGTGGGATTTATTCAAAGCCACCCAACAAGAGAGAGCAGAAGCCATACCCACCTCCCTACGGCCACATCCAGCCCTGCACACGTTGTGTGGACTATGAGACCTCAGGAGGCACCACAAATGGCTGGAAAAATGCCCAAACCCCCTGGGCTTCAGCACAAAGGAGATGCCCCAGCCTCTTTGGGGAAGGGTATTGTTACCAGTTGCAGATGCAGCTGGAGATGGCTCCTGTGGGGGGGCCGTCCCCTCCTTTTGGCTGCTTCCCTCCCTCCTGCCCTTGCCCATCTCCTTTCCAAGGGGGTTAAGTCAGACCTCCAGAAAACCAGGGAGGTCATATGGAAAACACCCAGCGGCCAACCACAGATGCCAGCAGGACTCTTCGGGCGGCTCAGCACCCTGCCTGCCACGTCACATCTCCCCAGCTCCCAGCAGCATTTCCAGCCTCCGTGTCACCG